TGGGTGGGTGGAAGGATGGATGGGTGGGTGGAAGGATGGATGGGTGGGTGGGTGGGTGGATGAATGGACAGATGGGGAAAAGGATAGCTTGATGGATGGCTGAAAGTACCAACCAAGCAAGGGACAGACATTTGCCATCCCTACAGATGTTCTTGTAGGCATTCACCTGAGTGGCCAGCAGAGGGTGCACATGCTCCCCAAAGGAGCAAGAGGTGGCCTTTCCCTTACTGTGGTGTCATGGGGCCTTTCCCAGGAAAGCTGTGGCTAACTCCCCTCAGGACCCCAGCGAGATGCATGCACTGCACCCCTTGAGGACCTGCCTTCCTAACCCATCTAAAGGCTCATGCTCAGCAAATACCAGGAACGTGGGTCTCACTGATGGTTCCGAAGTGTGAAGTGTGACCGAAGTCCACCGAGCGGGGTGCAGCAGAAGACGGAGGAGGGGAAGCCGTGCACGTGCATGCCTCTACTGCCTCGGCAGCAAGTAGAAGCAGGTTTTCGTTGTTGTGTTTGCTTTTTGAGACAGGGTCTTATTATGTAGCTCTGATGGGTCTTGAACGCACTGCCTACCTGAGACAAACCTTGAACTCAGTGACCCTCATGCCTCAGCCCCCTAAGCGCTGGGATTACAGGCATGTGCCATCACACCCAGCCTAACAGAGTGGAATTTCATGGCTTAAGGACCTGAGTTCCTAAAAGGGTGTTGGGATCCATTTTATAGAAAATATGTAAAACCAAAACAAAATACAGTTTTCCAATTCAAGGAGCGAAGGCCGTCAGAGGGAAAGGGCATCCCTGATATGCAAGGACAAATTGACCCTCCCCTGCCCAGGAGCCTTCATTTTTCTCGTCTGCTTACTTCGATGATTTCTTGCCATGCTAAGACCTCACAGAAGGACACAGTTGGCAGCCAGACAGTGAAACGCTGGGCACTCAGGTGCCATCGTGGGGCTCAGCAGGCCTCATGTCTCCTCCCCCCATGCCCTCTCTGCCTGCTGCTGGGCCAGGAGCAGGGAGCCGGGAGAAATTTTACTTGCTTATTCTTTGCGTGTGAAGTACATAGGTTTTTTTTTTTTTTGTTATTGTTTCTGTTTTAAAACAAAACATGAACGCCACACTCGCATTGTACAATCATTCCTTCAAGTCTTGTGAAAGGACCTGGGGGCCGACGGCGTTCTCTGGCTGAGCCTCTGCGGGCTTCCCCGTGCTTTGGGGAATTCCACCATGAAGATAAGGACAAAGGAACAAACTCAGGGAAGAAAAGGTCCCAGAGGAGAACGAGTGGAGGACCTGATGTCCCTGTCACCCTGAAAGAACTCGGGTGCTCTTCAATACAAGGGCCTTGCACATTAACTAAGCCCGCTGGTCATAAGGGGACATACCATCTTTCTTTATAGTGGGGGCTCAGGGCAGTGACTCTACTGCCTGTTATTTTACAATCTTGCTGCCAGGGGGAAAAGCAGGAGGCAAAAGAGCTGGGCATGGGGAGGGTGTTCTCGGGTCTGCAGCCTCTGCTTCCCTCCCCTCTGGGGAGCGTGAAGCCCCACATGGTAACTGAGGCAGGCAAGTCCTGCGCTACCAACCTCACCCTGAGCTCAGCAAGGAAAACCTTACAGCGGGGATGGAATGAGAAAAAGGAGGCGACAGCCTGATCACCTTGCCTCTCGTATCAGTGTGGGATGTCCCTGAGGTGGGGGAGGCAGCAGGATGTGAGTGTGGTCTTGGCTGGCCTTGACGCCAGGCAGTGTGGACACAGGGTGGGAGGGAACAGCCCATGTCCCTCCTGGGGCCCCTGGCCTTGGGGCAGAGCAGCGGGAGACCCCAGAAAGCAGATGGCCTAGAGGAGGCCTCTGCAGCCACCAGGGAGACCACAGTGCCTGCCTGTCCAGGGGCTCCTGAGCTTTGGGAGTAGGGTGACCAGGTGGGGTGGGGTCTCTGTAGCAGGCATGGGATGGTGGCAGGGACAGTCCTCTGTCCCTCCTACTTCATCTCTCTGCAGTGCTTGCGGTTCCCAGGGCAGCTGCCAAGGTTGGCGAGGAGGGCTGGGTCCCATGTGTTCCTGTGAGCACAACTGTCCTGGGCCAAGGTGAGTAGACCTTGGTGAAAGGAATCTACCCTTGAAAGAGAACCAAGCTGTACAGCTTTTGCACCCCTAAGAAACTGTCCAAAGGGATTCCAAGAGCTGACATCTGAGGTTCACAGTGGTATGCCCCTATGTCCACGCCTACCCACCCCCCAGCCTCAGGTGCTCCTAGGCAGGGCTCTGGGAAGGCAACTGAATTCCCGGTATTTGAGATGATGTGCTCTAGGAGGCGGGATCTGGCTGAAAGGGGCGGTCATGGGTGTGTGGCCTGGAGGGTTCATCTCCCTCTGTAGCCCCACCCCTGACTCACTGCTTCCTGCCAGCCATGAGGCAAGCAGCTGTCCTCCACCAGCAGGCCACCTAAGAACTGGGGTGAGAATTAAGCTTACTGTGACCCAGGACTGAGACTGGCATCCCACAGGGGGATCAACAGTGACCATGCACGGGGGCAGCAAAGCGAGTGCATTCCCCAGCCTGAGAGTGAAGGCTGAGGGTGCCATGGGGACCTGGTGGCCTGAAGTGGGGGGGGTGAGAGGTGTTTCTGCACACCACACTTCACCTGCGGAGGGGATCAGGGAGCCCTGCCTGCTGGGGAGCAGGCTGAGAGCCATCCTGGGGCAGAATGTCACCTGCACGCTGGAGTCCTGCACCAGGCACAGCTGCTCCTGGATCTTGTGGAGCTCCTCCTGCTGCCACCGGATGTTGGCCTGCAGCACCCGCGTCCGCTGCTCCAGCTGGTCCTTGATGGTCTGGAACATGCTGAGCTGTGCGGAGAACTTCCCGGGAGAGGGAAGGCAGTGCAGATCAGAGAGCGGGTTCAGCCAGCAGGTGGGTCTCCCCATCAGCCCCGGCCACTTTGCTTCTGGTCCCTGCCCATCCTTCCCGGCATCCCTACACCACAGGGGTCATGGGGCCCCAGCCAGCTGTCCTTAGGCTGGATGGCCGCAGGTCACATTTACTACCTGCTGGCCAGGAGACCCACAGAGAGAACAGGGCCTGGTGAGCCTGCTCACAGGAGGGTGTTTGCCCCCAAACGGGTGGACCAAAGGCTTTGGAGACAGAGGACACCAAGAGGGCATCTGAGAGCTTCTTTTCCTCCGAGGCGAGGCTGGCTGTAGCTGACACTTGGATGGCGTTTCTGGGCCCTGTCACAGCCTGAATCTGACCCTGGCTCTGTCTAAGTAGGCCTGGAGCTGCACGGGCCTCCTCCCTCCCACCCCATTTCATTTGCTGCTGCACATGTACGTGCATGCGTGTACACACACACACACACACACACACACACACACACACACACACAGGAGACAGGCACTGATGTTCCCCAGCATGACCCTGGCAGAGACCTGCAGAGGACTCAGGTCTGCTTCGTTCAGAGTACCTGGCCTCCCTGCTTTTAGGCCCTTCTGGGCCAGGGCTGGCTTTAGGAGCGTCTTGCGGGGGATCTCTGCCTGTCAGCTGTCTACCTCCTCATGGGGCTGTCACACAAGATGCGGCAGACAGGAACGGGATCCCTCCCCGGGTGCCCAGCCCTGCGGGGTGCTTTGGATTGTGACCTGTCTTTGTTCTTCCCTCTCCCTTTTCGCTCCCTCTCCCTGCCATCTCATTTGCCTCCCTTCTTTCTTGCTCTTCCTTCTGTTCACACTTCCCATCATCCCTTTCTCTTCTGCCATGGGCTTGGAAGTGTCTCTGGAGCCCACTTTTATTTCTGTGGCCTTCTGAGCTCCTCTACAGGGGAAAGCAAAGAGACCCCGAGAGAGGAGAACACGGAAGGGAAAACCTGAACCTACTCTCCCTGCCTCTTGGTCCTCCACCAGCAAACTCCTAGCCATCCTTCTGAGGCCAACCCCAGCACCACCTCTAGGAGGCCACTGGGACTGTTTTGTCACGGATCCTACAGAAGCATGGCCCATCACGGCGGTTTCTCTGTTTATCCTCCTGCCTTTCCCTTTATCCCTGGGAACTAAGAGCAAAAACCTTGTTGCACCCCTCTTTGTACCCCTAGCCCCTGGCCCTCACAGTGGCCCCTATGGTAGCTCCCTTAGTGTTATAGGAGCAAGGAAGGAATCATGCAGCAGTGCCGGAATCTTTTTGGTTTTGATTTTTGAGACGGGGTCTCGCTATGTAGTTCAGGCTGGCCTTGAGCTCACTTTGTAGCCTAGGCTGATCTCCAACCCATAACAATCCTCCTGCCTCAGCTTCCCAAGCGCTGGGATTACAGTCACGCACCACCACGCCCAGCTGCAACAAATATGGTACTTATAGCTCTGGACTCACAGCTTTAGATCCTTCCAGTTTTCTTACGATACTTGGCTTAATTCAGATCTTTCCTAAACACCACAGCCACTTTGGTGTCATCAACAATGAAAGCTAGGTGGACAAGTAGCAGTGGAGTGATGAGAGAGGGGTAGGAGTAGAAAAACAGACAGGAAAAGAGCTCTCGGGACATGCGAGGTGTGACTGAAGAACAGGGTGAACGCTCACATGAAAGGACACAGTGCCAGAGACGCTCCCTGTGAACACGCTTGTCTCATGGTCCTTGCCACTTCCGGAAGCACCTCTGGAAGCCCTCCTCTGGGAGCGCCTTTTGTTATGTTGTGGCAGCTGCCCTGATGTCCTGAATCCACCCAAAACAATTCCCTTTCGGGGCCATTTTGGCTTTGGAGAAGCACCTGGTGCCAGATCTGACAAATAGGGCACTCGAGGACACAGCAGCATGATTTCCTGAGCGGCCTTTTCATTCGGTGGGCCTCGGCAGCAGCATCCACCACATGTGTGATCTCACCTCATAAAGACACTCACGAAAGAGAATTTCCAGAGCTGCTTCAGAAAGTTGCAAAAATCATAGGATAAGCACATTCGAAGTGAGGGGAACATTCTGAGGGAGATTAGCGGCAATGTGCTTTTGCTGTGATAAATATTTAAGATCTAAGCATTGCCTGTACTCTGTGATGTCCCCTTGTAGGTGGAGGGACCAGAAGGGCTGACAAGATGCACCGGTGGGGTACACAGGGGTACACAGGACACACATGGGTTTCTTCCCTCCACTTGCCCATCTGCACCTTTGGAGAAGGTTCCCCATCGCGGGTCCTGGTTGGGGCCATATGTATGACCCATATCAGTGCCCACGGCTCACGCACTCCAGAGGATGTCACCCCACCCCAAGCCCCAGACCCACCTGCGCCACGGGGGTGGGCGGGCTCTGCAAAATGGTCTGAGGCAGGAGCTGCTGTGTGAGGTCACGGGACGAGGGGGAGGGCAGAGGCGCCTGAGAGAGAGGGGGGCTTTGTTAATCAGCATGGGGATTGAAGACCCAAAGAGGCTCTGGGGCTATGGACTCAGCTTTGTAATTCTGCGCTTTATCTTTAAGGTCCAATTGGATTCTGTAATCTGTATACATCTATGTCAATTGTGTTGTAAGTATGCTTAAAACTAGTTGCCCTGTAAGTGACATCACACCCCCACCCTCCCAGTGCCTACCCCCGTGTCTAAGGGAAATGGGTCCCCAGGAAGAAGTGGCATCCACCCTACGTGGTCCCACACGTACTGGCATCGTGGCTGCTTGGCTGAGCCCGGGCACCGGTACCTCATGGGGAAGGGCAGGTGAGCTTGGCACTGCTGTGGCGCTGGCCTCGGCCATCAGCTTCGTGGGCGTGGCTGTAAGAAAGCAGAGAAGGCCCTGGTGACATGTGCGTCCCTCCTGCCCTGCCAGGGGAAGGGCACAGTGTGCAGGACGCCAGCGCTGGGGTGGACCTCAGAGGATAGAGGTCACCATGCACAGAAGGGGCAGAAGCCACCAGGTATAGAGACCAGACTCCATTTCTGCTGCGGGGTCCAGCGACCTGCTGAATGCATGTCTTCCCAGGGACCCTAAGAGCAGTCCTGCTGTCTGATTGCTCTTGAACGGCGAGGTGACTGCGCACATAATGGGGATCCCAGAGTGGATGGGGATCGCAGGCAGGCAGGGAGGGAGTGAGACACCTCAGCTGTCCAGGCAGTGGCCTGCGGGACATGGGACGTGGCCACCCAGACTCCCACTCACAGGCAGGCTCCGACCCAGCGGTGTGCGTGGACTTGTGGGAGCTCCTTGAGGACACGGATGGCGAGGGACTGGCAGCGAGGCCCGGGGCACCGGCATCCCGCGTGCTAAAGCATGGCTGCGGGTCCAGGCTGGAGTCCTTGTCCTGAAACGCAGTACAGAGAGCCCGGGTTGGCCTCAGCGTGGGGACAGCAGTGCAGCTTGTGTCTAAACACCTAGAACAGCATGGAACTGCAGGGACAAAGCCCTGCGTCTCCGGGCTGATGCCAGATACCTGAAGGAGGAGCGGATGCGCTCTGTAACCTGCTCAGCCCTGAGCTAAGTCCCTAAGTTGCTCCGGCTGGGCTGGAACTTGTGCTCCTCCTGCCTCAGCCTCCTAGCATGCTGAATAACAGGTAAACACCACCATGCCTGATTTACAGATGATTTTTTTCTATTTAGATAAGAGTACAGAATCTGAAGTGCTTTTGTTTTCCTTTTGTTTTGGTGTGTGAGTGATACTGGGGATTGAACTCAGGGCCCTCACACTGACCTACGTTCCTAGTGTTTAAAAACATTTTTTTTTTAATTTTTACTTTTTTTACTTTCATCAAGGTCTTGCTAAGCTACTTTAGGCTGGGCTCCAACCCTCCATCCTCCTGCCTCAGCCTCCCGGGCGGCTAGGATTATAGGCATGTACTTTTACTGGAACAACTCATGCCAGGCTCTGCCTCGCTAATCTTTGCCTGTATGCGAGGAGCGGGGTACACTCACCTTCAGTGCGGAGAGGTGCAGGACCTCGGGCGGCGGGTCTTCCAAAGCCAGCTCCTGTCTTCTTTCCAGGAGGACATCGGCGTAACTGCTCAGGACACCAGAGACCACATTGCAGGGGCCTCCTCCCCTGCAAGGAGCACCCTGACCACTGCCCTGTCCGAAGGGGGGACTGTCCTTCCTGCCTGCTGCCCACCAGTGGATTCCCTCATGACCTCAGAGCACCCCCATTTCCAGGGTGACTTCACGCCCCTCTCCTTCCCTATTCCACCCCTCCCCGAGATCCTCAACCACAACTGTCTTCACAGCGCAGTTTCGTCTACGGGCAAGCGTCTGTCTCCACATCAGGAGAAGCTGCTTCCACAGCTGTCCAGCCAGGACGCAGAGCTCCTGAGCAGTCACTGCCACATTTCCCAAAAGTGTCCTCCACCACACCTAGAACTCGCCAGACCCAGGGCACTGGTCAGTGACAGGCGGCCTATGCCTCCTGGCTGTCACTGGTTCACTCCTGAGCTCCCGCCCTGTGTCTCTAGAGGCACTCCCTGCAGTCTGCGAGGTCAGAGGGCAAGAGCTGAGGTGCAGGGGATGGATCCAGGCCTCTCAGGGCACTCAGGGCCCCTGGTGAGCCCCCAAGCCGAGTGCTGTGGGCAGCTGGCCATGAAGCCATACGCGCTGACTGCCGAGGTCCACAGGGCGGGCTGGGAATGGAGGAGGGGCCTCTGGGGACAGGCACAGGGCGAGGGTACCAACACAAGGGCATTCAAGTCCCCTCTGAGCAAAGGGGTGCTGTCTGCGTGCAATCTGAACACGCCGCCTTCATGACAGCAATCCCGTCAGGGCAGCCTGCGATCCCTAACAGGCTGCAGCCGCTTCCCAGCAGCTGGGTGTTACGCCGTGGGGAACAGCGGTAAGGACTCTCCTACGGGTTCAGCACAAATGCTACTCTGAAAAGTATTTCCAATCCACGGCTGGCTGCATCCATGGATGAGAGAGCCCGAGGCTGGGAGAGCTGGCCGGGACCTGTGCCCCTCCAGCCTTTCTTTGTGTTCCTCAAAGGATCCTTTCGAAACCAGCTTCAAGCTGCTTCATGGTCTTAACATCTCTGTGGTGGGCTGGAGGGGAGAGGGATTTCCTCCTTTACCTCTGGGGCTCAGGCCCGAGCAGGAGGCAACCATGACAAGCTGGGCATGCGGCCTCCCTTCCAAGCCCTGCTCGGCCACCAGGGACTACGGGGACCCTGTGCCCGGCAGCCTGGCCCCCTCCCAGCACTGCCTCCTCAGTGGCCAGCAAGGGCTTTTTAAGCATGAGAAATAAAAGGAGGATGTGTTTGAGTTATTTAGAAGCAGTGTTTTAATTTTCTTCTCAAAACAGTGACAGGGAGGGCTGGGGAGGGAGAGGGAGACAAGGGAAAAATATGTAAGTAGGTCAGGGAAGCAGGAACTTACTAAGTAATATCCTGGCAGCTTAAAGGAGTCCACAAGGCCTGAAGAGGGGCCAGATTGAAAATGCCAAAGAAACTCTGCCCTAGTCCGGCAGGATTGTGCCTATACCTGGGCTGGGGTGAGCTCGGGGCTGGGCCAGGGCTCAGCACAGCGGGGGCTGAGCTGGCTGATGGCCCGGCTGTCGGTGACCTGCCCCAGCAGTACCTGACGACCGAGTGCGTGCACACGATGAACTCGGGCTTGGAGTTCCACTGGTGGTAGGTGATGTAGTAGTGCGTCTGCAGCCAGATCCACTGCTGCCCTTTGGTCAGGAACCGGTAGCAGCACGACTTCCCCTTGCCGAACTGCATCACTGTGGGCAGAAAGCAGATCTGCACGTGACGCAGGCCGGTGTAGAGCTGGCCGCACGCTGGTGACGACACGTCAGGGCACAAACAGGTAGACGCTGACGCTTCCCTTTGGTGGCACTGGGGACTGAACCCAGGCCTTGTGCGGCTCAGGCAAGCATGCTGTCCCTCCCAGCACTTCCAGCCAAACACTACTGAATTGTTAAAAGACAAGCAGAATGCATGCACTTTTCAAATGCTTAACAGCTCAGAGAGATCTTCAACAAGGACAGATGTGGACAGAGATTTGAGTCAGGTTTAACTACAGGGGCCCTGGTGTTCTCAGGGCTCCCCCTCAGGCTGCAGTGTGCAGCTGCAGGAGTTCGGAGAGCAGGGAGAATGCAGATTCCGGGAGAAGGGGACCCGAGAGAGACCTGAGGGCCAGCAAGTGTGATGGAGCTTTCTGCTGCCAGCAGTCTGATCTGTCCTCATGGCTGCAGAACAGAGCCTGGTTCAGATTAAGCCGCCTCCAGCCCAGGTCTCCTGAGGTTGCCCAGCGGCCTGCAGGCCCAGGGTTGTGTGTTTGGGTGGCTTCTCCGAGTTGCCCTGATTTTTTACACCCTGAGTACAATCCCTTGGCCTGAGCATTTTTTGCTGTTAAAAGAGTCAGACACAGCCACGGGTTTGAAGCAGTTTTGTTGTTTTGTTTGAGCAAGGTTTTGCTATGTAGTTCAGGTTAGCCTGAACTCGCTGTCTAGCCCAGGCTGGCCTTGAACTTGCAGCAGTGCCCCTGCTGTGGCCTCCTGAGTGCTGGGGTCACAGGGGTATGCCACCATGCCCGCCACAAAGCAGTTATGCTTTTCACATGTGACTGACTGCGCATGAAACACTCAGGAGGCTCACGCCAGGATTCTCCTGCCGGGGGTGCTCTGCAGGCCTGCTGCTGGGGCTCACCTGCAGTCTAGCAGAGCCCAGCTGGTCCCTGGACCACACTGGGAGGAGTAAGGGGTTAAGGCTTGAAATCCTGACAGCCCAGCCAGCTTGATCTGCAACCCACTTGCCCAGCAACAAGGACAGCAGGGCGCTAACGGGCCCTGAACAAGGCATCTACCAGGGCCCAGGGTTCCAGATCCTTTCATTCATGGGCTGGAACCCAGAGCCCAGTTCAGAGCTAAAAGCCAGCTGAAAATATAGCTTTTGGTTTTTTAATTTATTTTTTAGACAGTTTCTTGCTATGTAGCCTATGCTGGCTTGAACTCAGGGGTATCCTCCTGCCTCAGCCTCCTGAGTGCTAGGATTGTAGGAATACAGCACCTTACCTGCCTGAAAATATAGCTTGAGTGGTTAATTCCTGACTCCTCTTTTGAGTAAAACTGAAAATTGTGTCACTCACTGCCCCACGCGGTGAGCCCTCTGCACCCGCGCTCGGCAGCATGTCCTCTGTCCTGTCGCAGCGGCTCTCACACCCGCTGCTCCCCTGAGCCCCCAGTCCTGCGCACCTATGATGCCACCTGTTCCTGAATCTACCAGTGGAGGTTGCTGCAGCAAAGCACAAGATGCTGCCTGTGCTTATCAGCAGAAGAGAATGCCACACTAGGACACGCGAGCCACTGGAGCCACTCAAGCCACTGTGGAGGGCACATGGGACTCCCAAGAGAGAGAAGCGTGGCATCTGGCCTGTGCTCGGTGACCTGCCTGCTGGCTGCAGAATGCGCATGCGAGTTCAGCATTCTGCCAATTAAAATGCCTCATACAGCTTTAAAAACCATTTCAGCACCATCATTTCTCACGAGGATTAAAGAACATCCACATGGCCAATGCTGAGAAGGCGCTGGGAGCAGGCAACGTCCCTTCGGACACGCACGCCCAGGGCACTGCTCTCAGGGGGAGTGGAGGCTCGGCACAGGAGGACCCTGTGGCACAGAGCCCGGGACCCGTGGTACTCACGGTGCTGGTGGCACCTGGCCAGGAGCTCCAGGTCATCGATATGGTAGTAGTCGTAGCCTGAGGTGCCCAGCACTTCGAAGGGCAGGTATCCTATGATGGGAGGGGCTCTGTGGGATAAAGGGGCAGTCACCGAAGAGTCCTGCAAGGCCCACAGTGCCGCCGTGAGGTCCATGTATGAGGACAGATGGCCTGTGACCCACACGGGACCTCATCTCTCAAGAACCAGGGGAAGAAAATGTGTCCTGGTCATCAGACCCCAAGAGACCATGTTTTCCAAAGGGCTCCACTTAGGTGGTCATTTAGACGCTCTGTTCCCTGGGTCCCCATAGGAGCAAACTTAATTCTAGTGAATCATTAAGAGCCACTATTGACTAGGCTGGTCCCAGGGCCAAGTGCAAGGAAGGGCTGGGAGGGGAGATTTTCAGCTTTTCATCTGTGAATAATGTTACAAAGGAAAGACAAGAGACGAGGCTAGAGGATCAAAGGAGAAAGCAGAGCAGAGATTTCTTTCCCCATTTGCTTCTGCCTTTCCAGGGTGGAGAAAGACAGGGATGGGCTCACCCTGGAGATGCCTCAGGCCAGGGCTCTGACCTGAACCCAGAACCAGTGCAGAATAAGGCGGTGTAGGGGAGGGACACACTTCCGGTCAGCTGAGGACAACTGCTCCTACGGTAGGATGTCCTTTGCATCCCCAGGCCAGGCCGGACTCTCCTCCCAGGGGAGCCTGGCTCAAGTAAACAGCATTTGAAGAGGGTCCAACCCAAATGCGCTTTTCTTTTCACAAACCTGTGATCCAGAAATAAAAATTTCCATTCCAAGCTATGCCTTGAAGTGAATTCCTCTAAGGGTTCATCGACAATGCACATTTCCTGTATGGGAAGGGGAAAAACATAATGTCGCTTTGGGGTGCCAGACGCTCACCCCAGTTAGTACGAAAGGAAGGGAACACTTGGTGGGGAACAGAAGCTAGAGCTGTTCCCAGCCAGTCTCCGGTCGCGTGGGACTGAAACGTCATCTGTGGCTAATTTAGGTATTAGCTGATACTAAATTTATTCCCCAAGCTGGGGGAAGATACCTAGGAGCCAGAATGTCACACCACTCCCTTCCCGTTTTCTGGAAGTGTGGCACACACAGGAAACAGCTTTTCATCTGAATGTGAGTCACTCATTTAACTCTATCCACACTCATGCCAGAGATGAAAGCAGTCACAGGCGAGGGGAGACGGGGATGCTTTGCGCATTCAGTGCTCCTCTGTGCCAGCCCCGAGTGCCAAAGGCGGGAGGGTGGACAGTGCCGTCCGCCAGCACCTCTGAGCTGCCTTCAAATAAAAGAACTTACAGGAAACCCAGGAACGGGAGAGGGCAGCTGTGGCTGTGGCAGAAACAGGACATCGTAGGGTTTATAGATGACTCTGGAGCAGTATAATTCTCTCCCATTACAGACAGCGAAGGACACAGAACCAGAGGTGACTCCCAGCAACGAGGCCTCGCCAGGGGACTCACCTTTAAGAACTGCGGTGTTGCCAGGCGGACGGTGGCGATGAAGCAGACCTCCTCTCCTAGTGGCACCCGGCAAGGTCTTGAGAGCGTGTTGTCAAAGCCATTGCAGGAAGGGCTAGGCACTGGGGGGTGGGGGACATGCAGGTTAGACACGGCAGGTGACCGCTGCTGTCAGCTCCTCCCTCTGTGGTGACAATCCCGACCTCCAGAGCCTCATGACACTAGGTGATCAAATTACATGGTGAATGTTTAGGTTTCTAAATATATTTATCATGGCCCCAGGCACGTTGCCACGAGTCCTGGACATGCCGATCCCCTGGTTCTTGGCAGTTTCTGAAGCAGCTCTGGAGCCCCTTTCCTCAGTGTGATCAAAAGTGGAGTGAGTGCTGCCACTCACATGCCAGCCAACGCAAAGGCAGGCTTGCAAACACGACGCTGTGTCTCCGGCCACCTTGTGTATTTCATTTGGTGCTGTGGAACTTCCGGCGCTTCCCCAAAGTCAAAACGACCACGGAAGGCCTGTGTTCTGAGTGGATTCGGGGCGTCAAGGCAGCCCCACAGCACGGCTAGGAAACTCAGGAGAGAGGAGTCCAGAGCTGCCTTGGCAGGTGGCGAGGAGGAGGGGCAGGTGCGCATGGAGCGAGGGGGAGCACTGGGGAGGATTAATGGCAATATAAGAAGTTTTTAAAAATGTAAACATTCATTGCCTTGTTTTCAATAGCATTTTGCATATTGACTCATTTTATTCTTACAACTCGACAAGGTAGGGACTCCTGTCGTTCTCCCTGGGGAAACAGAGGCACAGCGGTGCAATCGCTTGCACAAGGCCCAGCGGCTTGCGCGAGGCAGAGCGGGGAGTGGAGTCCACGCTGGTGACTGCTGCTCCAAACGACCCGCTCTCTAGCAGCCTCCAGCCTCAGGCTGCCAGAGTGGGGGGAGCACTGCACAGGGCGAGTGAACCACCGCTGTGCAGGAGGAACCCGAGGACGTGCCTGGGCCAGGTGCGAGTTCCACAGTCACAGTGTCTGGGACACGAGGGTCCCGAGGAAGCAGTCTTGGCCCCGACACCCTGTCCTGTGGCTCTGGCTGGGCACACCTGGGCCCCCAGCCTTCTGCCCTGAGTCTTGGCCTTCTCAGGCAGGACCACTAGGAAGGTGGCCTCAGTATTCGGGGTGCTGCAGCTTGGGTGTAAAGCATGCCCAAGACCTGTGTGATACAGACTGGTTCGGGCTCGGCATTCTGGGGAGGCGTGGGAAACTCGAGGGGCTGGCCGGAGGGGCAGTTTCAGGCCCTGGGCCCGGCCCTGCGGCAGCCCTACTGCCCTGTTTGCTCTTGCACCTCCAGCCACAAGGGGACAGCCCTGCTCCAGCCTGCCCTCTGCCAGTGTGTGGCCTCTAAGCACCCAGGGAGATGGAGCAGGGATAGAAGCCCCATGAGTCGAAACAGCCTTTTATCTTTTTAAGTTGGCTATCACAGGTGTACTGTTAGAGCGATGGGAACCTGGCAAACACCTAGGCTCGTCCCTGGAGGCCCACGGTGCGCACTACCACAAGAGACCAAGCCTGTGCTCACATGACCTCCTATTTTTCCTCATGAGTCTAGGAAGATTGATGGCCTGCATGCTAGGCCTGGGGAAACTAAAGCCCAGAGACAATCTGGCAAGGAACCAAGGTCACTTGAGTGGAAGTAATGGAACAGGGATACACTGACCACGGAGAGCTGATGGGCCCACGGCTCAGAACAATTCTGTTATCTTCAGGTGAGGAGAAGAGCCTGTGACTCAGCACACGTGTGGAACTCTCTGGTCTCCCTCTGCCCACACGCCTGTGCCCCTGGCCCTGGCTGCCTGAGCCCAGCCGGCTCGGCCAACCAGAAACCCAGAGGCCAGGCCTGAGCACAGCACTCCCGACCCCCTGCAGACCGCCAGGACTGCACCCCACCTTCTCTTTCTCAGCGCGGCTGAGCACAGTGGGCCTTTCATTTCTAAGCGCTCTGAGTCTGCAGATGCTGCTGACTGCAAATGGGAAATATCTGAAGAGAAGAAACGGTGCAGGTTTTTTTCTCATCATTATTTTCCAAACAACACAGTATGACAACTATTGATGGCATCTGCGTTGTAATCTAGAGGTGATTTAAGGAATATGGGGGGTTCTAGGACATACTCCATCATTTACAGAGGGGAGGACTTGATCACACCGGCGCTTCGGCGTCCCCTGGGGTCGGGGAGCCCAGGCCTGTGGACTGTGCATGCTCAACCTGCAGATTTGAATGCAACTATGTTTTCCAATATGGAGCATCAGGATACTAAATGCATTACAAGACCAGACCTGTGTGATCGTCTTTGTAGTTTAGCTTCCTGATCTTTTCTGCTGTACATATTTACAGGTCTCCAAATGATTCCAAAACACAATCTTCTCTGCTTAGTCTACCGGGCCACACATATTCTCTGAAGTCATTCATACAAATACCAATAAATGCTTCCAAACATGAATACAAAGTGGGGAAAATAAAAAAAAAATAGCCTCTAGAGAGCTCACATCTGTTGTGCACTGGCTCAGGCTGTTGTGGATTAATTTGCGGGGTGAGCCAAGGCATTTATCAAGGGGAAGGAAAACAATTCCACATAAGGGACGGGCCCGCAGATGTGAGCATCTGTGTTGGAAGAAAAGCCAGTTAAAAATTTCCCAGATGTGAAATCCCCTCTGCTTAACTCTAAGAGACATTACCCAGCCCGATAATGAGCTAATAAAAGTCTCCTGACAATTCTGGAATACCCAGACCTTCCAAGCAAACTTCTCAAGCCTTGGTGGGAATTTAAGAGAAAGCTCTGTCTCTACACCTCACTGGAGTGGTCCTCCGCCCACCTGGGGCATCTTCCGGATTTGAGACACAGGAAAACGATGATGAAGTGGGAACAGGCTGCCCCTGCTCCTCCTCCACGGTGCAGAGACCAGGCCCTGGTTGTGATGTGGATGTTTTCCACCGCTCACGCTCAGCCTGGCTGCTGCCCAAGTTATCTGTGGTTTTATAACTTCAAAGGCTTTGAAGATGAAAACGCACCCGTGGAAGGGAAGTTTCCTTAGTGCTCGAAGCCTGCCCCTGGTAAGCTGGGTGTTTCACAGATGGGCCCGCAACCGAGCAACCTCTCTTCTAGTGGGAAAACTTTTCCTATCTAGGGCCTGGCTGCGTGACAGACAGTAAACCAAGGGTGACTGTTTCAACTGAGGCCAAGGGGAAACCCTGGGTGAACCAAGGGGAGGGAGCCATGCTAAACATTTGGCCAGCGGCCCCTGAAAGGACTTTGCCCACAGCGCGAGTGACATGCATGTTCCAGAGTCCACAGCACAGGAGCACTGTTCCCAGGACCTCGTCCCATCTAGTACTTGGAATAACTCTCTGGCACGTTGTGTCCCAAGGTGGTTTAATGTCACTAATTAAAGATTCAATTAGCAGTTTCAATTTAAGTAACAGAAAAATGTACATCTATTGCTCCTGGCGTCCTTGGCCTCTCTGAAGGATCCGCCATAAAATGCAGCCCATTTCCCCCATGGAATCTCTTTACTCCAAGTTGATCTCACTCTTGTTAAAGGCTAAAGAGGTCACCCTACCCATCAGGGGTGGGATGAGGTAAGGCTCTCTCTCTCCAGTTTTGAGCAGCTGGGCTGCAGACAGTAGGTGGTTAGCCTGTGCCTGCGGGGGACTCTCGCACAAGAGGACCTTCTCTCTTGAGTCCAAACCATGGCATGAGGCTCTGCTCAGAAAGATACTTTTTTAAAATTTTTTTTTATTTTAGGGAAGGTTCTACAGGGTGTTCAGGGTCTTACTACTAGATTAGACTCTTAGTGATCTGCCTGTTTACAGCCCCCCAAGAGCTGGGATTACAGGCATATGCCACCATGCCCAATCTCAATTGCTATCTCAGCGCACCCTGGGGGTGGGGCCAGTGGGAAGGCCTGGGGATTGAACCCATGGCTCCTGTGCTTGCATGCAGGTACTTTAATCTGCTGAGCTATTTGGTTGGCCCTAGAAAGATACTTCTGATCCTTGCGCTCGGGACCCCAAAACAGTCATTTCTCTCGTGTGGCATGAGCTGGTCTCACTGCACAGCATGGTTCTGGAACCCCTGGCACCCCTAGAACCTCTGCCCCAACTGCCATGGTTAGGAGAAGGCCGGGTCAGGGCAGCCAGCTGCAGGACCCGCACTCCACAATCCCTCCTCTGCTATGGAAACAGAATAAGTACCTGTTGTGGGCTCCTGTGCGTGTAGGGGCAGTCTCCTAGCTGAGACAAAATGCCCAACACCAAAAGTTAAAGGAGGAAACATTTATTCCAGCTCAGTGCATGGAGGTCTCAGCCCACAGTCAGCTGGCAGAAGGCAGCGAGCAGCACAGGCGGCTCTTTCTGTTCCTTTCTGTGGCATCCAAATACAAGCCTACTGATTGGCGCCACCCACTCCCAGGGTGCGGCCTCCGTGATCCCCACTCTTAATCCCAGAATCATACCCTCAACCCACATTCTCATACATGTTAATCCACCCACCTCTGGGAATCTCTCCACCTGTGAGAGCATGAGATTTGAGGGACATCTAGATACAAGCTGTAACCGGCTTCGTATTAAAATGTCCCATGGATTTTCAGGTCCTGAACTTTTCACGATAGTCTCTGTTTCTAGACACCCTGAAAGAGCTTTGCTTTGGGCTGGTGGCCTTGGGGTTCAAACACTAGGAATCCTGGAGACCCAGGACAACTGACCAGTGTCTGCTGGTGTGGAAACGCCTGGGAGGCTGGCTTCTAACTCTCTCTTGACAAAAGTGAGTCCCCAGCCAGTCCTGATGGGACAGGACACGGCTTCAGAGGCAGGGAGATCTCCTCGGTGAAAGAACTTATTTCCAAAGGGGTCAGAAAGAGGGAAGAAGCAGAGACTGTAACTGCAAACACTAGTTAACGGCAAAAACACAGACGAGACACTGAGACAGAGGTATTGGCCCTACTTCACTAGCTCCGGGCCTGGTCATCGGATAATTAAGTGTTCTCATGAGAGATGGCCGGCTGATGACGAGCGAGTTGTAACAGCTATGGAGAAACACGCAAGTGGGCTGCAAAAGCCAGAGCTTTCTTGGCGC